GATTTGGTTTGTTTTCGTTTGCTTTTTCGTTGTTTTTTTTTTGGTATTGGTGTTTGTGGTTGGGTTTGTTGTTAGGTTTTTGTTTTCGTTTGTTTTTTCTTTGTGTTTGTATTGGTGTTTGTGGTTGTGGTTGGGTTTGTTGTTAGGTTTTTGTTTTCGTTTGTATTTCTAATTGTGTTAGCGTTATGTTTGCGTTTTGTTGTTTTGGTTGGTTGTGGTTTGGGTGGGCAATGCCGGGTTTATGATGATTTCTAAACACACAGGTAATGGTCTTTAACGGAAAGGTTTTTCACAGAAGCCAGAGCAGGGCCTGGCCGGGACGGCTAGTATTGTATAAGGATGGATTGATGATGTGTAAATGGAGCGAGGGAGGGACGAATAAACAAACAGGTGACTGACGGATAGACGGACGGATGTTTTGATGGACGGACGGGTAGATAGACGGACGGACGGATGGACGGACGGATGTTTTGATGGACGGACGGACAGATGGACGGACGGATGTTTTGATGGACGGACGGGTAGATAGACGGACGGACGGATGGACGGACGGATGTTTTGATGGACGGACGGGTAGATAGACGGACGGACGGATGGACGGACGGATGTTTTGATAGACGGACGGACGGATGGACGGACGGATGTTTTGATGGACGGACGGGTAGATAGACGGACGGACGGATGGACGGACGGATGTTTTGATGGACGGACGGACAGATGGACGGACGGATGTTTTGATGGACGGACGGGTAGATAGACGGACGGACGGATGGACGGACGGATGTTTTGATGGACGGACGGACAGATGGACGGACGGATGTTTTGATGGACGGACGGGTAGATAGACGGACGGACGGATGGACGGACGGATGTTTTGATGGACGGACGGACAGATGGACGGACGGATGTTTTGATGGACGGACGGACAGAGGGTTGGACGGACTGAAGGTTTGAGTGACGGACGGACAGATGGCTAGAGAGACTAACAGACTGACGACCAGTCAATTAGTTAGATGCATGGCAGATAATTTTTACTTTCATGTCATTTTTTTTTAGACCCCAGAGGATTTTCATCTAAAGGTAGATACTTATTATTTACTTCAAGTATTCAAATAGGCATACACATCGTATCAATATCCTATAATCAATATCCCATAATCAATATCCCATAATCAATATCCCATAATCAATATCCCATAATCAATATCCCATAATCAATATCCCATAATCAATATCCCAAATTGTAATTGACACACCCATTCTCTAAACTGTTAAAGTAATTCTAAAGTATTTATTTTATGTACTCTTTATATACGACCTTCTTTCTGATGCTCCTCTGATAGACAGCAGAGAATTTGATTTTAAAAAGTTTACTTTGCTGCATAGTAAATGAAGATGTAAAAGAGCCAGTGGCGTAGCGAGGTCGGGTGTCATTCGGTGCGGCACCTAATTAGGTGTCACGCCCCCCCCAGCCCCCTCCGTAATATATATATATATATATATATATATATATATATATATATATATATATATATATATATATGTATATATATATATATATATATATATATATATATATATATATATATATATATATATATATATATATATATGTATATATATATATATATATATATGTATATATGCCATATACAATTGTGTTTTTACGCATGTAATTATGTATTCAAATATATTTTGTTTGGTTGTATTTAATTTTTTACCCTTACAACTCCATACATGGATTAAAACATAAGTTACTACGATTCTCAACCAAACCGTTTTCCGTAGGCATATTTTGCAACGTTGAGTTAATGTAACTCACCTCCACCCTCCCCCTCCCGATGATTGCTTTAAACAGTGCTTAGATAATATTAACGATTTTTTAAAATCTATAGTCGGTTATAAATACAGCTGGATGTAGCATGTTTTCTCTATCATTAGTAGGTTTACGTCATGGTGTCACCCCCCCCCCCCTATCCACCCTTGTAAGAATTGGTGAACTTTGCTCTAAAGTCTATTTATCTCACTCTAATTAATCTTTTAATAAAATGGAATTATCATTTTTCTGTATATATTTTGCTATTTTTTGCGTTGGTGTCTTCTCCTAAATGGTGTCACCCGGAGCAGTCCGCACTCCTCGAACCCCCCCCCTCTTCGCTACGCCTCAGAAAAGAGTTGACATTTAAATATATATATATATATATATATATATATATATATATATACAGAGGCGTAGCGAGGGGGGGGCGGGGGGGGGGGGCGCCAAATTGAAAGTTTGAGGGGGGGGTGCAAATGAAAAGTTCGAGGGGGGGGGGGTGCAAATCGAAAGTTTGAGGGGGGGTGCAAATGAAAAGTTCGAGGGGGGGGGGGGTGCAAATCAAAAATTTGCTCCCGAGGGGGGCGCCAAATTGAAAGTATGTCCCCGGGCGCCGGGAAGGGTCGCTACATATATATATATATATATAGATGTATATAGATAAGAACTTTAAAACCTTTAGACTATCTTAACATTAGGAATTCATAATGCTCGTAGACATTTTAAAATGTAACTTAATTATCAATTTTCAAATAATGTAACAAAACTAGTCATAAGATAAATTGATAGATAATGACAAATGTTAATAAAATATATGAATTTTAAAGAATCTTTGCTAAAATTAGCTAAAGTTTTTTGGATGAAATTAGTCAATGCAACTGAAGAGTAAATATATACCCCAAGTAAATTAGAACTATTTGCATTATTTGAATATTAAGTAATTAATTATTACATAGTTATAAAAATTAGAAATCTTAAAAATGTCTCATTTTTATCTTACCTTGGGAACTTAAATTCTAATTCTTTAAGGAACTGGAACTGATTTAGCTAACAAGACACGAAAGTCTGACGATGGTAATGCCACCAGTAAGTATTTGAAAACTAAAAAAATGCTTTATACAATCGATATCACTTTCACACTGGTTTTAACTTGACTGTCACGTAATGAATGTTAAAAAAAACATGTGATTTGCTGTCTTTTAGAAACAAAGCTTTCTTTTTAAAAAAAAATTAGGTTTTACAACTCTATTAATATATTTTATGTGTATCCTATAAAGGCTTATTTTTATGTTACAAAATAGTTTTAATTTGATCCTTTGTAAATTTGTTATATATATATATATATATATATATATATATATATATATATATATATATATATATATATATATATATATATATATATATAAGTAGACTGTTTTACTAAATTTTAAATTAATCATTGAAACAATTTCCTAATTTTGTAATTTAGCAAAATAGATCCATCGTGTGACAACAAATCACACAATAATATGCTCGAACTCATTTTGGGCCTTGAAACTTGTTTAGGTGAAATTATTTAATGTAACAGTTGAGTTGATAATCGGTTTAAACATTAAAATATTGTACTATTTTTTACAATATGTATTAATTTCCAATTCTTTAAGGGGAAGGAACTGATTTATTTAACGTGACAGGAAAGCCTGACCAAGGTAACCTCACCAGTAAGTATTTTAAAACTTACAGTTTTATACAAAAATGATATCACTAAAATACTTGTTTAATTACTTTTATCGTTATTATGTGACTTAAAATCTATTAGTTCAGGCTGTATTTGAAAAGTGTATTAGGTTTTAATATTTTATTTGAGTAGCCAATCCAATATTTATGTGACAGAACAGTTTAATTCTGTTAAGAACAAAATTTAGTGTGATGTGCTAGGATTATGGTTTTGTTTACATTTTATTAGTCCTAAAAATAATCTCATCTGAAGGTAAATATTTATTGTTCAATTAATTTAAATACATTTTCCTTGTTATTATTTATACTATACCTTTGGAATAGAAACTGCGTGTTAAGAAAATAAATAAGTTTGTAATCGCCTAATACTGAATTATTTCAATTATGGTAACCCTTTTTGAAAATTAAACCCGTTTATTGTATTGGAAATTTAGCTAGGTATAATGTTGATGATGTATTTTTTAATATAATCTATTTTTAAGAAAACTAGTCAGTACAGATTATGATAAATCTGGTGTTTATGTAATTCAATGCACTATTAATAATAATTATTATTATACACCTATTATTAATGAAAATCAGAACAAATTAAAACATTATACTAGATAATGTGATAGTTATAATTTATATTTCATTACTTAATAATTAGCCTACATTTTGAGAAACATAAGAAAAAAAAATAGATTTTCGATATATTTGAATGGCACTACATATATTAATGAAAGGTTAATTAATTATTCAATTAGTAAATTATTTTACTTTTACACTTAAAATATATCAGATTATTAAGTAACAGAATTTTAAACTTTAATAAAAAATCATTGTTTATATAGTTAAAGAGTCCATTTTATTAACCTCATTTTTAAAGATAACTATTTATAACTGTATACTGTTAAATGTTTTAAATTGCATAGTGTATGCCAATTCTATAGGAAGAAGCGGCTGATTTATGTTCCTAAATCACTGTCACCAGTAAATCTTCAATAACTTACAATCGTATGACATCAGTAAAATACATGTTTAATTACCTTAAGCTGTTTAGTGAATCTAACCTATACATGAGATACTCCGTCTGTTTCAAAAGTCTAGCTTTAAGAAGTAGATTAGGTTTACAATTTGTTTATATATAATTATGAGTAATTTATAATTATCATGTTAAAAAACCGTTTCATTCCATTTAGAACATATTTGGTTTTATTGTGCATGAGTGATTTTTTTTGTTTAGTTTTTTTTATTATCTTTTATTTTTAGCCCCCAAAAATATCTCATCTGAAGGTAGATATATCTTATTTAATGTATTTAATCAATTTTTCACTGTTATAATGTTACTTACCAAGAGACGTTAATTGTCTAAATTATAAACTTGTGTTTATAATCCACTTAAATTAAACTGAATTAATTTGTTGTAGCTAAAACCATCCATTGTGCTGGACATTTAATTTGGCTGAATAATTATAATGTATTTGTTGTATATTCTCTTTATTTAAGAATCTGGCTCTGATGTACTGATAGCAGGTTGATAATTTGAGACATCTGTTGTTTAAAGAACAAAGTCTGATGCGCATACAGTAGAGTATCATTTATTTTGCTTCCCTAGAACCAGAATATTCCCAATTTTTTTGTTGGTTTCGAGATTTATACACTGTTGTGTCTACTAAGGACTCTCACGATTTTTACACAACAATTTAACCTCGCTAAATCCATATTATAGAAATATTAAAGAAAACAAAATTTTAAAGCCACGCCTTGTTGTGAACATTTTAATAAAGTGGATTTATAACAGTCTGGTTCTAGGGAAGCAATATATATATATATATATATATATATATATATATATATATATATATATATATATATATATATATATACACACAGAGAGAGAGAGAGAGAGAGAGAGAGTAAGAGAGAGAGAGAGAGAGAGAGAGAGAGAGACTATTGATAACCCGAAAATCTAGAGTGCAGACCACAGCCCGCACGCGAATCTTCAGGACTTCCCTAAGTCCACCCAGCTCTAATAAGTACCTGACTAACGTTAGGGAAAATAAAGGCCACTGGACCTGGTGCTGCCCATGACATCCCATTATATGCGCGGTCAATAAATATGTGAACTCTACTCCATCCGCCTCTTGAAACGGGGGGACTTTAATAACTTTCTTATTTTAAAATCCAGATTACACGAACAGATTTTTAATAAATGTCTGATTTGTTTCTTGTAGGTGCGATCGTTGGGGCTCTGTTTTTCCCTCTCACTGCCGTTGTTCTGATCACTGTCTACGTTTGCAGCGTATTGTAATAAGGTAATAGTTCTCTTGGTGTTTTATTATTTTTTTTTCATTTTTTTTACAATCATTTATATTCTGGCAATGACAATTTATTAAAAAAAATGTATATTTGTGTATATTGGCATTTTCGCTACAGTCTGTTTTAGGATAAGTGTGACGCAGCAAGTTCACATGCTAATTTAAACTAGGTGATATAGGTAGGGTACACAATGTGTGTTTCAATAATTAAAATGTAATGACGCGGTCGGTGGTGTAGTGCACGACTGCTAACAGGAAGGGTTCGGGTTCGGGTTCAAGTCCATAGAAAATGTTTGCCCCGTGGCAAAAGCTAACTTGAAAGCATCCAATCAAGCAGGCAGTTTTCATATATTAACTTAGGCAAAAATAAAAATAAAAACATTGGACCTTACAGCTACAATAATAACGGGCCGTGGAACTACTGAAACAACACAGAAACAGCTTACATAGCAGTATTAAATGAAAAAAAAGCACACTCCATAAAATATAAGAAAATACCACCGTATGATGACGCAGATTTCAAGATGTATGGTTTCTCTCTATGTATTTTTGTCCCAGCTACAAATACAGACAACCTAGCCATTATTAATCATGAATTGAACTTTTTCTTCAGAGCCGAGCTACATCATCACACAGTAGACGCAGGAAATAGGTCATCACACAAGGAGTAGGTCATCACACAAGGAGTAGGTCATCACACAAGGAGTAGGTCATCACACAAGGAGTAGGTCATCACACAAGGAGTAGGTCATCACACAAGGAGTAGGTCATCACACAAGGAACCGAAAACGCATAAGCCTTCGCAGTTACGACACCCGAACAACGAAATGCCACACCTTAGGACATCTTCAACGAAAAAACAGTCACCCCCCCCCCCCTCTGCCGCCTTCGTCCCACACAACAGCTAAATCAAAGACACAGAATGCCAGTACGTCGATGTATGTTGGAAAATGTAAAGGATGGCATACACACCCAACGTCCACATCTACACAGAGATTAGGCGTGTTGTGCCATTCTGGGTCAACTACGGCAAGCTTTACTCTGCACATCCATCTTCCAACCGTAGTCACTACAGAACCAAGTTTTTCTCAGTGCCACCATTGTTAAAATCCACGTCACTACAGAACCAAGTTTTGCTCTGTGCCACCATTGTTAAACCAACGTTACTACAGAACCAAGTTTTGCTCTGTGCCACCATTGTTAAACCAACGTTACTACAGAACCAAGCTTTGCTCTGTGCCACCATTGTTAAAATCCACGTCACTACAGAACCAAGTTTTGCTCTGTGCCACCATTGTTAAAATCTTTAAACCCACGTCACAACAGAACCAAGCTTTGCTCTGTGCCATCATTGTTTAACCAACGTTACTACAGAACCAAGTTTAGCTCTGTGCCACCATTGTTAAACCAACGTCACTACATAACCAAGCTTTGCTCTGTACATCCATCTTCCAACCAAAGTCACTGCATAACTAAGATTTGTGCCATCATTGTTAAACCCACGTCACTGCAGAACCATAAACTTGGATGGCTTTCGAATTGAGATGTTGCCATAGCAAAGATTTTTAAAAAGGCGGCCCACCTGATATGCATCCATCCGTGCAAGGAGATGCTAATTTGTGAGATGTCGTCCAGCAGATAACGTGAGGTCTGGTTCCTACAGGTTATTCACACAATAATGAACATACAAGGCTTACACACCTGAACACATACACAGATACATACATGGACAGGCAGAGACAACTGTCATCAAAGAACACAACAAAACCCTGGGACTCAGCACAAAGTTCGACTACTCAACTCTACAAAATTATACAATAACATGACATGAGACATTTTATGGCTTAACGAATATAACAGCAGCACACACATATGAAATGAACATTTACAAACACATTTTTGTTATTATTTCATTTTTTTGTTTTTGTTTTATTTAGATAAATTATTAGCAATAGTAACTCTATATTTTCTATATTTATATGTATTTATTGAATGTTTTAGTACTAGGCAAGGGGTCGGCACTCTTTTAAGACGGAAGAGCCAAAAGTTACAATTTACAAAATTTCTTAGTTTTTAAAGAGCGACTAACATTATTTTTTTTCAATACTTTGATATTTGATAAGGATTTGGTAAATAAATTTGATTTATGATTTGAGATAAATAGCGTTAAATATGAACTGATATTGCTTCATATAAAAATATACAAATTTTAATGTTTCGCACAAAAAGTGTTATAGCTAGCTCTGCTTTGATAATATTAGTAATCAAATAATATAACTATATGACTATCACAATACACTTTAGAAGCCAATAATTTGTTTATCTTTCTTTACGGACACCACTGGCTCAGCAGGTGTCTCCCATTAGCCAAGCAGGGCCAGAGGCGTAGCGACCCTTCCCGTCGCCCGGGGACAAACTTTCGATTTGCACACCCCCCCCCCCGCTCAATCTTTCGATTTGCACCCCCCCCCCCCTCAAACTTTCGATTTGCACCCCCCCTCAAACTTTCGATTTGCCCCCCCCCCTCAAACTTTCGATTTGCACCCCCCTCAAGCTTTCGATTTGCACCCCCTTCAGACTTTCGATTTGCACCCCCCCTCAAGCTTTCGATTTGCACCCCACCCCCTCAAACTTTCAATTTGCACCCACCTCAGACATTTGATTTGCACCCCCCCCCCCTCAAACTTTCGATTTGCACGCCCCCCTCAAGCCTTCGATTTGTACCCCCTTCAGACTTTCGATTTGCACCCCCCCTCAAGCTTTTGATTTGCACCCCACCCCCTCCAGCTTTCGATTTGCACCCCCCTCAGACATTTGATTTGCACCCCACCCCTCAAACTTTCGAACTGCATCCCCCCTCAAACTTTCGATTTGCACCTCACCCCCTCCAGCTTTCGATTTGCACTCCCCCTCAAACTTTCGATTTGCACCCCCCCTCAAGCTTTCGATTTGCACCCCCTTCAGACTTTCGATTTGCACCCCCGCTTAAGCTTTCGATTTGCACCCCCGCTCAAACTTTCGATTTGCGACCCCCCCCCCCCCCCTCAGACATTTGATTTGCACCCCCCTCAAACTTTCGAACTGCATCCCCCTCAGACTTTCGATTTGCACCCCCTCAAACTTTCGATTTGCACCCCACCCCCTCAAACTTTCGATTTGCACCCCACCCCCTCAGACTTTAAATTTGCACCCCCGCTCAAACTTTCGATTTGCTCTCCCCCTCAGGCTTTCGATTTGTGCCCCCTTACAAACTTTCAATTTGTTTTTCCAACCCATTTTGGCGCCCCCTATGGTCGGCGCCAAGGGACATATGTCCCCCCCCCCCCCCGCTACGTCTCTGGGCAGGCCTCAACACGGCGAACTAGGACTAACTGGCTTGGGTATCGGTTTGATTGTTGTATTGGTCGCTTCTGTCCTTCGGTTCTCACAAGGCTTATCTTATCTACTCGAACCCACAGTCCAGTACCTGGCTCAACCGTAGGAAGCTAGTAACTAAAATACTACAGCATTCAGGACTGTCTTTGTATACCTACGGACTGTCTTTGTATGCCTACAGTTAGAGTAATGCACTCTGAATAAAATAACAATCCCCATTTAACGCTATTCGAAAAAGTCGGCACTTTGCCAGTGGCAAGCATGGAATTGTTGCCACGGGTCTGGCCAAAGCATGACTGTGGGGGTGGGCTGTCAGCTGTCCGTGTACTCTCTAACTTATCCCACTTTAAGTTAAAGACCTGTAGTAGCCAATCAGGGCTAATGTTAATAAAAGAGGCTAGAGATAAAAATTTAGATTAAAGTCAGTCTGTTGTAGCATAGCTATTATACAAGTCAGTAAGTTGTTGGATAGCAATTAGACAACTTTTGATGTTACTGGTCTTGGTGTGTTGAGAAGCCTAATTGGAATAATTAACAAGTTTTTCTATAACTTAAAACTTCATAGTTTAGGACAGTTAGTTCCGTGCCACTTTTAAATTAATTTATTTTAATGCCAACTTACTTATGGCCGGTTGTAAAACTGCGTGATTGCAATTATTGTAATTCAGCTTACTAAATGAGCTAAAGACTTTTTTCAAATTATTTCCCTTTATCTGGTAAACATACTTACCTGTTTCTTGTGGGGGCCATCATAATAATTTTGTTAACTTACTTCTAATAGAAAGTAGATGTTAAAAATCCTGATAAAATCTGATGATTAGCAGTTCTTTTAATATAATTTGACAATCTCTGTTTAAAATATTAGATCAATAGATAGAAGCATTTGGGACTAGCATACTGGGTGAATTAGATGTGTTCACATTTATTTCAATTGATGTATTATAAATACAAACTTTAATTCCTCAATTTTTATCGATTGCATTTCTTCTTTCTGCATGCTCTGTTTGGGCAATGATAAATAAATGTATTAAACTCATTTTATCATTTCTTCAATTTTTTAAACGCATTGTTTTAATTACTATTTAGTTACTTAGCATTAAAATTACAGAAATACACATTTACAAGAAGTTATATTATATGTGTGCATACAACTAAGAGTATTAAATAATATCTTAGTCTGTAGAACGGTAAAATGTAATGTCAGACACGATTGTGTATCCATAGATCTAGAATCTTGATCTATGGATGATGAAATAGATGTCTATTTTATCAGCGTCAGTATTTCTTTCAACTTTTTGCTTTTACATTTAATTTTTTTTTGGGCGGAGGGACGGGGACGGGGAGGGGGGGCGGACAGTGGTAAAAGTATATATTTTCTATATAAATTCTATTTCGTTCGAGAAGGGGGGGGGGGGCACGGTAGACGTTACACGAGAGGAAGGGGTGCTGAAAGAAAACTCTGCTCCGCATATGAACGAGTCAGTAAAATGTCCAACTGGTTTTGTTATATTAATCAAACAGACACAGTTCTCTGAGTAAACTTTGGTACTTTATTGTTATATACAGACAGCTCAGACGACACGTCCTGTCTCTGACCCTACCTTTCGTTAACTACCGCACACGTACACGTGCTGCACCGGGTGACACCATGAGGCGCCGCACCGGGTGACACCATGAGGCGCCGCACCGGGTGACACCATGAGGCGCCGCACCGGGTGACACCATGAGGTGCCGCACCGGGTGACACCATGAGGCGCCGCACCGGATGGGTGACACATGAGGTGCCGCACCGGGTGACACATGAGGTGTCGCACCGGGTGACACCATGAGGTGCCGCACCGGGTGACACCATGAGGTGCCGCACCGGGTGACACCATGAGGTGCCGCACCGCGTGACACCATGAGGTGCCGCACCGGGTGACACATGAGGTGTCGCACCGGGTGACACCATGAGGTGCCGCACCGGGTGACACATGAGGTGTCGCACCGGGTGACACCATGAGGTGCCGCACTCGGTGACACCATGAGGTGCCGCACTCGGTGACAACATGAGGTGTCGCACCGGGTGACACCATGAGGTGCCGCACTCGGTGACACCATGAGGTGCCGCACTCGGTGACACCATGAGGTGCCGCACTCGGTGACAACATGAGGTGTCGCACCGGGTGACACCATGAGGTGCCGCACTGGGTGACACCATGAGGTGCCGCACTCGGTGACACCATGATGTGCTGCACCGGGTGACACCATGAGGTGCCGCACTCGGCCATAGTGACTCCACTGGTCTTTGTACAGTCAATGTTGGAGTCCAGTGGTGAAAGACAGTGAGGTGAATGCAGATAATAACATCACAGTTTTAGTATCCTCAAACATTCAAGATAATAACTGCTACAATAGGCGTATATTGCACCTGAATTTCTTAGGATTCTAACATTGTTTTATTTCTACTGCATTGGTATTTATAAAGATCGTAGACGTATATTGCACCTTGAATTTCTTAGGATTCTAACACTACCAGTTTTATTACTATTTCATTGGTAGTACCAGACTAAGTCTTGTTCCACAGTTTCATCATTAGGTCAGAAGTGGGAAAATTGTTCTTTATTATTTGTCTATTTAAAATTGATATTAAATCTAAAAATAATAGAAGAGATCTTTTATTCAAATCTTGAAGCTTCTTTAACAAGTTTTCTCTGAAAGAAACGAACTGAGTGTTCCACTTCATCAAGTTTATTTGTGCCGTGTGCTTCATACAATATTTCATTCAGCAGTAAATCTGTTTTAGCCTTGATCTCATTGAAAGTTTTCAATGGCGAGTCTAGCTTTTCAAAAGCTGTGTGAAGGTTGTTGAGCTCCTTTATAAGCTCGCACCTTAAAGCTCCCCGAAGATTTGTTTTTGAATTCTCGGCTTCAATGGCTTTCCCTTTCGAATTGTAAGCTTGTCTGAATTTAACGGCCGAATCTTTGACGCTTTTTAAAGTTTGGACACTTAGTTCGTAGTCCTGACAATGCTCTAGAACTTTTTGACTCATTTTATCAAGGTTTTCATTTGGGGTGAGTAGAAGATAAAAGTCCTCATACAACAACTCTAATCGCTTTTTCATCTTTTTCTTTAGTTCATCCAAGCAAAACATTAAAAGCATAGATTTGCGATTTTCTTCTTGTTTTTGAAAATGTTTCATGTAATATTTATTTTTAATACTGAAAGTATGTTGAAGGATTTCTTGAGCGCTATTGTATTTCTCCATTTCACTGCCATTATTATTAATCAGGACAATTCTAAAGTTACACTCTTGAAATAACTCAAGCAGTGGACCTCTCTGTCTCTCACACCAATCTTTGAAAGTTGGAAATTTTTTATTATTCTCATCGCTTGAGTAGTTGTCTCCATGCGTCATCACTAGAACACAATTATCCCGAATAAAGTTTGGTCCGAAAATTGTTTTTAAATACAAAATTGTGTGTTGCTCTTCTGCACTGTAGGTATTAATGTAGCTTAAGACGAGCAAAATGGCGTCCAAATGTTGGATCGTATTGTCTTTCATGACTTGAAAAGCTTCGCTTATTTTGTCTCTAGCAAACCTTATATTCTCAACATCATCATCAACGTTAGAATCAAACAGACCAGGCGTATCAATAATTTTGAGGGTCTGACCGCCGACTTTGGCACTAAACAAACCAACTCTCTTAGAACCAGTTGTCGTGTCTGTAGCCCTCTTGAAAACGTCGTCATGCGTGATTGAGTTCAGAGTTGAGCTCTTGCCATGCCCTGTTTTCCCAACACACACGTAACTTACAGCTTGCTGACTTTGATTGCTTCCCATTGTTAAAAACAGATCTGCGTTATCTCAGCTTTACTGAGGAAAAATAAACAAAATGAATATAAAGCTTGAAAGGAATTTGTGTTGGAAAAGTTGATCTGAAAACATCTACAAGGAGTTAACATATTGGGTGGTGGCCAATGTTCCCTCTAAGCTGCGCGGTTGCGCGGCCGCGAAGCAGTTTTGAGTTGCCGCGCAGTGATTTTGTAAAATAAATATTTCATCATTTAAGACTTTTACAACACCGCGCACAGAAAATACGTCACTGACACATAGCTGAAACATCACTGACACATAACTGACACACCATTGACACATCACTGACACATGACTGACACATCACTGACACATCACTGGCACATCACTGACACATCACTGATACATGACTGACACATGACTGACACATGACTGACACATGACTGACACACCACTGACACCTCATTGACACATTACTGACATATCAATGATACATCACGGACCCGTCCCTCGTTATCCTAACCTCGACGGAAATTGTTGTATTTCTTTGTGTAGACTACTTCAGAAGATAGAGGATAGCTATTAGTTGATATCTTTGCATCTAAAGCTATGATACAAGTACAAGCAGTCATAATTTAATGTCGCATCAGAGCTCATGTGTTTTAAAAATATTTTTTATTTTAACGATAGCTGACATCTGCACAATAAACGTACAACTAGTTGCATACCTGACGTCAAAATGTGTACAGAAAGAATACAGCCCAAAATGTGTACATAATGCATACAGCCCAAAATGTGTACAGAAAGAATACAACCCAAAATGTGTACATAAAGCATACAGCCCAAAATGTGTACAGAAAGCATACAGCCCAAAATGTGTACAGAAAGAATACAGCCCAAAATGTGTACAGAAAGCATACAGCCCAACTCGTTTATCACTTCTAAATGCGTAGAATAAATAAGACAGTACAACTCATATGTTACGTTTTGATGTGTACCATAAATCATACAGCTCAACATATATATATATATATATATATATATATATATATATATATATATATATATATATATATATATATATATATATATATATATATATAGAGAGAGAGAGAGAGAGAGAGAGAGAGAGAGAGAGAGAGAGATGATGCTTAATGTACTATTACAGCATACTGACCAACTTATTTCAATATTTGTGACGCCACCATTTATACAACAAATCACACAGCCCAACATCTGTGTGACGTCACAATGTCTATTACAAATTTTTAAGCCCTGTATATATCTGATGTTAACATATCATGTACAATAAATGATTAAGCCCCACATAATTCTATCGTCGTAACGTTAACATTAAATCACGCAGCCCAACATATGCATGACGTTAACTAGATTTCCTAGGAAAATAACCCGCATGTTAACAACAGCTGTTGTCCTCCCCCCCCCCCCCCCCCTCCCGACACAATACACGCAAACAAGTATCGACCTGAGCTTGCTATTACTCACTAAATACTACACATACACTTTTAACAAACAATTCTGCTTTAACAAAACATTTGCAGTTTTCTTTGTAGTATATTACGTAGTCTCTTCGCTCAAACTTTATTTCGATGACAATGCATCTATCTTTTTTTTATTAATTTAATTAGATGATAAATAAATCGTTAAAAATTAATTAATTAAAGTATTTCAAAACTAATGGAAGATGACAAGATTAACTAATAGCCACTACAATTTTGTATCTGTAAAGATTAGCGGATAAATATGTTCATGCGTGAATTATCTTTCCTTTGAGATGGATTCCATTTTATCCGGTAATCTTTACAGATTCAAATTTGTAGTGATTACATTTTTTAAAAAGAATGCATTAGCAAGCTTACTTGTGTGAAAATAAAATAATTCAGACAAATTTTAAAGGTTAAAAAAATGTTAAACTTCAACGTACTGCGCTAGACTAAATTTTACATTCCACGTCATAAAATATAAACAATACAATACATTTTTTTTAAATTCATAAAAAACGTTTTAATTACAAGCTTTTATGGAATAATGCACGAATAAACCGGGAATGATCTCCCCTAAACTCTCTCGAATATTCTTATATAACACTATGGGGGGATGGCACCTCAAGTTATAGACATTATATTTAATTCATTATTAATTACTTAAAATTTTAAAAATAGAATAGAATCTCGTAGATAAAAGAATTGCGCACCAAGTAAACAGTAAACATTGTGTGTATAATAGTGCGAAATATTAGTACGTTATAAAATCTTATACGATTTCAAGAATTCGGAAAGAGCGTAAAGTACCACTTCCGGTCAACGGAAATTACTAAAACAATTGACAGAAGGCAGAAAATTAGATTTTTTACTTATATGTAAAATGTTGTCTATATATCTTAAACAATACTCAAGTAATAGGCTTTTGAAAAACCAAAAGTAAAATAAGTTCTCCTTTCAATCATCAGAAATTGCTGAATTAAAATTTTGATGTAATTAACGGTGAAAATTGTGGAAAATTAATGTGATTTTTGTGCACGATTACTAAACTTGCTCTGTGCTCTGTATACGAGAAAGCAAAAAGATAGATGCACTGTCATCGAAAGGAAAGTTTGAACGAAGTCACTGCATTAGAAGTGGGTCAAAATTCAGTTACATTTGCCGCAATCCAACAAACGGATGTTGAGAACTGAGTAAAAACGGTTCATAAGAAATGTTCACTACACATTTCAAGTTCATGAAACTGACGTGCTAACAGCTTAACCGTGGGAGGGGGAAGAGGGGGGGGGGTGTTTGCCGCAGTTACACGGACAGGATTGTCTTCTGGATGTCACCTGTATTTTATCACATTAGCACATTTGGTGAAACACTGATTTTTTTTTTCTTTAGGAAAAGGTACAAAAGATAATTAAAAGTCGACAGTTCAAATTTAAGACCTTAAACATAAATGTATTTACGTTGATAGATTCGTGTAACTGAATGATCTAAAAACAAGAGAGGAAAATGTAAAATACAAGTGACACATTACACAAATCAGTACTCACGAGATTGTATATAGGTTGCTGATGACTTGTTGCCCTGTGTGTTATCAAAACTTTCGTGTATATGGAGCGCTATCAACAGACTCGCTAGCCTGTTATGACGTGGCCAGCCATGTATTTTCTAAGAAAATGTCCCCAGGTGTTGCACAAGAACAGACCTGTTGCTGGCTTCAAAATTAATGGCGGCCTGGTGATACTTAGTTCAGTCATTGCTGAATCAATGGCGGCCTGGTGATACTCGGTTCAGTCATTGCTGAATCAATGGCGGCCTGGTGATTCTCGGTTCAGTCATTGCTGGCTACAATAATTGGCGGCCTGGTGATACTCGGTTCAGTCATTGCTGAATCAATGGCGGCCTGGTGATTCTCGGTTCAGTCATTGCTGGCTACAAAATCAATGGCGGCCTGGTGATACTCGGTTCAGTCATTGCTGGCTATAATCAATGGCGGCCTGGTGATTCTCGGTTCAGTCATTGCTGGCTATAATCAATGGCGGCCTGGTGATTCTCGGTTCAGTCATTGCTGGCTACAAAATCAATGGCGGCCTGGTGATACTCGGTTCAGTCATTGCTGAATCAATGGCGGCCTGGTGATACTCGGTTCAGTCATTGCTGGCTATAATCAATGGCGGCCTGGTGATTCTCGGTTCAGTCATTGCTGGCTACAAAATCAATGGCGGCCTGGTGATACTCGGTTCAGTCATTGGTGGAAGGGAATTTCACTATAATAAATGGGTATTGGGAATGTGAGATTAAGGTTAGTGGGAACTGTGAGTTTAATCCCAGGGTGATACGTGAAGCAGACACAACAAAAACAATCACCACGTCGACGTCACGAGTAGAATTGAGGTTAGATGACGACATAAGTTACGTCATAAAAATGACCTGTTCAGCTACTGCAAGCTTAAGCTCTTATCTCAATCAACATAAAAATCCCTGCAGTGTGCTAGGATATTACGTACCCTTCACCAGCTAAAGCAATTAAAATCCGGCCACTGTAATTCGTTGTGAAAGACGAGAAGAAGCATATAAAATTATGTGAGTCGTTTCCCCTTTCTAACTTGGTTTATAAAACAGCAATGTGGTTTAGTTGTCATTTAAGACTGGCTTCCAGGCATCTCTTTCTATTCAGAAAATCAAAGTTTGTCTTATGCAATTAAATAGAAAACAATCTTTTTTTTTTGCATTTCCGAATTTCGTTGCATTTTTTTAATTAGAAAATTTCTGAATTTTTTTTCTAGGCTTAAGTGTTGTATTAAATTTTTTTTATTTTTGAAAGTGGGTGATGGGCTAAATGGTTTGAGAAAATCTGACGTCTTACATCGCAATGGTGGACAGCAAGCTCTCACACACTTGTAAAGTTGAGTGACTTGTGAAATAATAGGCGAACACTCAAAGTTCAATGAAAAAATTTCACAACAAAAGCTAGAATTTGACATTTTATTTTATTAGTTAAGAAACTTTTTGGTGAATGTTAGATCCAACTGTAACACCGTCTCAGGTATTAGCCAGGAATGAATCCTCTAATTTTGTCTGTAACAAATCTTTTAAATAAAAAAAAATTGAAACAATCTTTACATTAACACATTACACATGAATTAAAAATTTTAACACACTGGCAACAAATGAGTTGAGCTCCCAAAAGAAGTTTTTTTTAATATACAAATATAAATTGGCGTATTAAAAAAAATTGAGGTAGTGTGGACGGGTTGGTGAGGTAGTGGGGTTGGGTTGGGGAGGTAGTGGGATTGGGTTGGGGAGGTAGTGCGGGCGGGTTGGGGAGGTAGTGGGGTTGGGTTGGGGAGGTAGTGGGATTGGGTTGGGGAGGTAGTGCGGGCGGGTTGGGGAGGTAGTGGGGTTGGGTTGGGGAGGTAGTGTGGTAGGGTTGGGGAGGTAGTGGGATTGGGTTGGGGAGGTAGTGCGGGCGGGTTGGGGAGGTAGTGGGGTTGGGTTGGGGAGGTAGTGTGGTAGGGTTGGGGAGGTAGTGGGGTTGGGTTGGGAGGTAGTGGGGTTGGGTTGGGGAGGTAGTGGGGTTGGGTTGGGGAGGTAGTGGGGTTGCGTTGGGGAGGTAGTGTGGTAGGGTTGGGGAGGTAGTGGGGTTGGGTTGGGAGGTAGTGGGGTTGGGTTGGGGAGGTAGTGGGGTTGGGTTGGGGAGGTAGTGGGGTTTGGTTGGGGAGGTAGTGGGGTTGGGTTGGGGAGGTAGTGCGGACGGGTTGGGGAGGTAGTGTGGATTGGTTGGGGAGGTAGTGTGGGCGGGTTGGGGAGGTAGTGTGGGCGGGTTGGGGAGGTAGTGGGGTTGGGTTGGGGAGGTAGTGGGGTTTGGTTGGGGAGGTAGTGGGGTTGGGTTGGGGAGGTAGTGCGGACGGGTTGGGGAGGTAGTGTGGATTGGTTGGGGAGGTAGTGTGGGCGGGTTGGGGAGGTAGTGTGGTTGGGTTGGGGAGGTAGTGTGGGCGGGTTGGGGAGGTAGTGGGGTTGGGTTGGGGAGGTAGTGGGGTTTGGTTGGGGAGGTAGTGGGGTTGGGTTGGGGAGGTAGTGCGGACGGGTTGGGGAGGTAGTGTGGATTGGTTGGGGAGGTAGTAGGGTTGGGTTGGGGAGGTAGTGGGGTTGGGTTGGGGAGGTAGTGTGGTCGGGTTGGGGAGGTAGTGTGGTCGGGTTGGGGAGGTAGTGTGGTCGGGTTGGGGAGGTAGTGGGATTTTGTTAGGGAGGTAGTGTGGGCGGGTTGGGGAGGTAGTGGGGTTTGGTTGGGGAGGTAGTGGTGTTGGGTTGGGGAGGTAGTGGGGTTTGGTTGGGGAGGTAGTGGGGTTGGGTTGGGGAGGTAGTGCGGACGGGTTGGGGAGGTAGTGTGGATTGGTTGGGGAGGTAGTAGGGTTGGGTTGGGGAGGTAGTGGGGTTGGGTTGGGGAGGTAGTGGGGTTGGGTTGGGGAGGTAGTGGGGTTGGGTTGGGGGAGGTAGTGTGGTTAGGTTGGGGAGGTAGTGGGGTTGGGTTGGGGAGGTAGTGCGGACGGGTTGGGGAGGTAGTGTTGTTTGGTTGGGGAGGTAGTGTGGGCGGGTTGGGGAGGTAGTGGGGTTGGGTTGGGGAGGTAGTGGGATTTTTTTGGGGAGGTAGTGTGGGCGGGTTGGGGAGGAAGTGGGGTTGGGTTGGGGAGGTAGTGGGGTTTGGTTTGGGGAGGTAGTGGGGTTGGGTTGGGGAGGTAGTGGGGTTGGGTTGGGGAGGTAGTGCGGGCGGGTTAGGGAGGTAGTGTGGTTGGGTTGAGGAGGTAGTGCGGGCGGGTTGGGGAGGTAGTGTGGTTGGGTTGGGGAGGTAGTGGGGTTGGGTTGGGAAGTTAGTTTGATTGGGTTGAGGAGTTAGTATTGTAGGGTTGGGGAGGTAGTGTGGTAATGTTTGGGGATGTAGTGTTGTTTGGTTGGGGAGGTAGTGTGGGAGGTTTTGGGAGGAAGGGGGCTTAGGGTTGGGGAGGTAGTGTGATAGTGGGTTGGGGAGGTAGTGTGGATGGGTTAGGGAGGTAGTTTTTTTGGGTTGGGGAGATAGTGTGGACTGACGGAGAATTTTATAAGTGCATATGGTGTTGTATATTTTGATGAGTATTGGTCTTTTTCCCCCTACCTATTTGTAAACAATTCATATAACATCAAGTAATGACACTCGTAGCATAATCTGTCCGTGTTACAGAAAGAAAGTTATACTTACTTAGCTCCTACACCAATCATTTGATTGACTGTGTCCCCTGAAGAGTATCAAGTACAAAACGTTTTAGTTCTATGCGGAGTAAAATTAATCAAATAATTTTGAACATTTAGATTACCAGATTACGTTGAAAACGTGTACAGACGTAAGGTTTTGGTAGAAAGTAGAGTAAATTGTTACAATTTAGAAATCAAAGAGACGACGTCTTAAGTTTGGGCACTGGGGAGATGAGGCTCGATAGCTGTGGGCATAGGGTGTGGAACACATTGCGGAGTTGGGACATAACATTTTGCAATATAAAAAAAGTATATATGACATTTGTTTCCTCTGACAATTTATTTTAGCCCCTCCCCCCCCCCCCCAAGAAAGTAGAGGCCGCAATGAATTGGGCATTTGTCGCATTCGAGCAAGTGTCCATTTGGGAAATCGGCCTTCGGGCAAGTGTCTTTCGGGAATTTGTCTTAGACCCATATATATATATATATATATATATATATATATATATATATATATATATATATATATATATATATATATATACATATACCCTTTGTCAAAAATAGTATTATTAATTTGTTTAATAATATTTAAAATGGATTATTTTCAACTGATTTGAAATAAAAATCTCAACTTACCGGAAGGAAATACAAATGCACTAGTTAATGCAACCTCAGACAGTACTGCGGCAAGGACAGCCATCAACAGAAAAAATCTTAGCATCATGTTGTTGTCTGACAGTTGCTTCTCGTCTGCTGCTCTGTGACCACGTCTGACGGTTAGCGGTAGCCTGCTGTCTTTTTCCTAGCTTGTAATCAACTGCGTCACAAACTCGATGCTAAATATCGATGTTGCAACGGCCTAACCAATGAGTAGAGTAAATTTACTGTGAAAAATTACTGTAAATTATTTATTTTTCGACACACCGCAAGTCATAAATATGTGTTTGTTAATTTACCTAACAATGTAAGGATACAGCAAAAAACATTATTTTAGTTAAATGTATGAAGGCCTAAATTCAAATATACTATTTTTTACACATTTTTTCTCTGTTTTAATTAAGAATTGAAACTGTTTTCAATAAAGATTAGCATATATATCATCATTGCTATTCTACTTGTTCGTTTTTTATGAATCCAGACATGAATAGTCTCGGAAGTGTATAAAATATTTTTAAAATCTAAAATAAATATGGGTTTAAAATTTTTTATTGTGAGGTTTTTATTTTTGTCGGACTTTACGAAAGATTTGATGTATTTCGTGTTTTTAGTAATTTCGTTAAGTAAACGATATTGAAAAAAAAAGTGAAAAAAAAATTCATAAAAAACGTTTTAATAACAAGCTTTTATGTAACAATGCACTAAAAAGTAGAAAATAAATTATAGACTACTATTTAAATAACTATAAAGAAAAGCGTGGGTCACTTTAGTATCTATTGGATACCTTTACTAATGTTAAGGAAGACACCCACGCTT